ATTTTTTTGAAACATTTAGGGTTGTCTACATATGAGATCATGTCATCTGTGAACAGAGATAATTTTACTTCTTCCTTTCCAATTTGGGTGCCTTTTATTTCTTTTCCTTGCCTAATTGCTGTGGCTACAACTTCAGGTACTATGTTGAATAGAAGTGATAAAAGTGAGCATCCTGTCTTGTTTCTGATCTTAGGGGAAAGCCTTGCAGTATTGGGCAATTTTTGATTACTGATTCAATCTCCTTACTATTCATAGATCTACAGTCATACTTAGCAAGGGGGATATGTCTGAGAAATGCATCATTAGGTGATTTTGTCATGCAAACATCATAGAGTGTCCTTACGCAAACCTAGATTATAGCCTCCTACACACCTAGGCTATATGGTACTAATCTTGTGGGACCACTGTTGTATATGTGATCTATCATTGACCAAAGTGTTGTTATGCAGCACATGACTGTATTCAGATTTTCTATTTCTATATGAATCAATTTTGGTAGGTTGTGTGGAATTTGTCCATTTCCTCTTGGTCATCCACTTTGTTGCCATACAGTTGTTCACAGTATCTCTTATAATCCTTTTTATTTGTGTATAATCAGTAGTAATGTCCCCATTTTCATTTCTGATTTTACTAATTTGTCTTCTCTCTTTTTTTCTTAGTCTTTTTTTTTAAGCTAAAAGTTTGTCAATTTTGTTGATCTTTTCAAAGAACCAACTTTTGGTTTCATTGAATTTCTCTGTTTTCTATTCTCTATTCCATTTATCTCTGCTCTAATCTTTATTTTTTCCTTCCTTCTACCAGCTTTGGGTTTAGTTTGCTCTTTTTCTAATTCCTTAAGATGTACAGTTAGCTTACTGACTTGAGATGTTTCTTCTTTTTTTAATGTATTCATTTATAGCTATAAATCTCTCTCATAGCACTGCTATCATCTTCCTGATGTATCAACCCTTTATCTTTATGACATGCCCCTCTTTATTTCTGATAATTTTTGTCTGTAAGTCTATATTGCATGATATTAAAATAGCTACTCCAGCTTTCTGGTGCTTACTCTTTACATTGTATATCTTTTTCTGTCCTACTTTCAACCTATTTGTGTATTTTATTTATTTATTTATTTTTTAAAGATTTTATTTATTTATTTTCCCCCCAAAGCCCCAGTAGATAGTTGTGTGTCATAACTGCATATTCTTCTAGTTGCTGTATGTGGGACGTGGCCTCAGCATGGCCGGAGAAGCAGTGTGTCGGTGCGCGCCCGGGATCCGAACCCGGGCCGCCAGCATCGGAGCGCGCGCACTTAACCGCTAAGCCACAGGGCCGGCCCTATTTGTGTATCTTAAAGTGTGTCTTTTGTACACAACATATAGTTGGGTCTTGCTTGTTTATTCACTCTATCTTTTTTTTTATTATTAATTTTATTTATTTTTCCCCCAAAGCCCCAGTAGATAGTTGTATGTCATAGCTGCACATCCTTCTAGCTGCTGTATGTGGGACGTGGCCTCAGCATGGCCAGAGAAGTGGTGCGTCGGTGCGCGCCCGGGATCCGAACCTGGGCTGCCAGCAGCGGAGTGCGTGCACTTAATCGCTAAGCCACGGGGCCAGCCCTCTATCTCTTAATTTGTGCTTTTCATTCACTTACGTTTAAGGTAATTATTAATATGTTTGGATTTAGATCTGCCATTTTGGTGCTTGTTTTTTATTTGCCACGTCTAGTTTTTTTGTTTTGTTTGGGTTTTTTTTTGGTGAGGAAGATTGTCCCTGAGCTACTAACATCCATGCCAACCTCCCTCTATTTTGTATATGGGATGCCGCCACAGCACAACTTGCTGAGTGGTGCATAGGTCCACTCCCAGGATCTGAACCCATGAACCCTGGGTCACCAAAGCGGAGCACCCAAACTTAACCACTATGCCACCAAACCAGCCCCACCACATCTGTTTTTAAATTTCTCTATTTCTTTTTTAGCTTAACCTCTTCGCATTATATTTTCAACGGTTACTCTAGGGATTCCAGTGTGCATCTTTGACTTTTCAGCGTTGTACTACTTCACATAGGTATGGGGAACCTGGTCATTGTATAAATCTATTTTCCCACCTTCTCTTCACTCCCTTGTCCTCTGCTGGGTCTTTTTGGGTTTTGGGTTTTTTTTGTTTTTTGTTTTTGATTCACTCATAAGTTTGTGTATACTTAGAGATAATTCTTGTTGAATAGTATTCCATTTTGTGGATGGAATATAACAATGGATCCACCTATTCTAGAACTGGAGTTTTTTCCAGTGCTTCTGTGACACTTTTGTACCTATTATTTTTTGGTGAACATATGTACACACTTCTGTTGGGTGTACCTTAGGAGTAAATTGATGGTTTATGAGGTATGCATATGTTTGGCTAACTGATCAGTTTCCAAAGCAGCCATACGAGTTTACACTCATATGAGATTTCCAGTTGCTCCACATCAGTACTTAATGTTGTTTGTCTTTTTTACCTTTAGCCATTTAGGTGGGTGTGTAGTGGTATCACATTTTAATTCAAAATATTTTAAAAACACTATGCTGACCAAACAAAACAATGTGTGGGCCAGATGTGGTCGATAGGTCACCTCCAGATTAGACTGTGTTGTCTGTGAGAATTATTGTTCGTCTTAATGTATGTGAAGAATTTAATAATTGTCTACTGAACACCTGAAAGATAAAAAATTCATGCTGCAATCATATTAGTGGAGAGATTTTAAAGCAAACTGCATCTGGAGCATCCATTTGCATCCCTCCTGCTCTGTTCAGTGGGGTCAATGGAAAGAACCACGGTGTCATCAGGACCATGACAAATGGTAGCTCTCAGGCTATAGGGGCACAAAGAAAAGAGCCCTTAACCCAGCTGTGGGAGGTTCTCTGTAACCTGGCCCCATCCACCCCATCTCCTCACCATGCGACCTGCTGTGACATCAGATTATTTCCTGAACCTCACAGTGCTCTCAAGGCCAAAATATTCTAAGGTCTTTGCTCATGCCATTTCTCTCATCTGTTCTTTCTGTGTGGAAAGCTCTCCCTCCCTTCTGTGCTTGGCAAACTCCTACTCATCCTTCAAGGCTCACCCTAAATTTCCACTTCCTGTCCCAAAGCTTTCCCCAGTTCCCGTGGCAGAGTTGGATACCTTCTCCTCAGAGCTCCCACCACACCATGTTCTTCTCTTACCTCATTGAATCATTGCTGTTGGTTTGTGTCTCCCTCTAAGTGGGTGTCTCAGGGAATATGGCTGAGGTGGACACCTGATGTTTTTGCCACCTAGCTCTCATCTTATTCATCCTACTTCTGGGAACAGTGCCCTAAGTTTTCTTTGGGACACCACTCTACCCCTGCTCTAAACCCTGTCGTTTTAAACCATCTTTTCCAGATCACTGTAGATTCAGAGATGGCCAAAGGACCCAATTTGGGCTAATGATCATCAGTCCCAGGACTTTTATTCACACTATTGGAGGAAGAGGAGCCGGCCCTGTGGCTTAGCGGTTAAGTGCGTGCGCTCCGCTGCTGGCGGCTCGGGTTCGGATCCTGGGCGCGCACCGACTCACCGCTTCTCCGGCCATGCTGAGGCCACGTCCCACATACAGCAACTAGAAGGATGTGCAGCTATGACATACAACTATCTACTGGGGCTTTGCGGGAAAATAAAATAAAATAAAATAAATAAATAAGTAAAAAATATTGGAGGAAGAGCATCTTTCTTGTCTAGACTTGAACGCAGGAGGGCATTAGTCTGGAGCTGCTGAATATCACTGCAGCCTCTAAATGAGCCAGACCAGTGGCTGTAAAGATGGAAACAAAGCAAAGTCTAAGTGACACTGCTTGAGTACCTGAACCAAGCAGTTTCTGGACTTCTCAGTTATCTGGCCCAATGTTTTCCCTTCTTAGGCTTAAATCAGTTTGAGCAGGGGGTTTCTGTCACTTGCAGCCTCAAAAGGCCTGATACAAGATGGTTGTGTTTCCTTCCCTTGCCACCTGGTCTCTATGAGACCAACTCATTGATTCAACTTTAGAAGGATAGGAACCTACTAAAGACCCCAACACCACAGGACTCTCAGAAAGCAGGCAAGGAATGGCCTGGATCACCTGTCAGCTCAGATGACAGATGCATCCTCTCCTCTCGAGCCCTCAGGTATGGCCAACTTCAACCTGTCACCTTATAGGTGGGGAAAGCAAGATCCAGAGAGGTTACATGATTTGCCCCAAATTGCTCAGCTAACATGCTGTCACCAGTTCTACCTGACCTCAGAATCCACACTCTTCTCCCTAGACTAGAGAAGGCACCAGTAGGTGCTGAGTCAGGGAGATGTCCTAGGGAAACAGGGCCCCTGGAGAAACAGACAAAGCCAAAGCCAGCGCTAGAGCCAACCACACCTTTATTAGTCTCTGCAGCAGGGCCACTGGAGCCCCTATCTACTAGGGAACTTTAGCAGGCTACTCTGGCTACTGGGCAGGGATGTTAGCACTTCTGTTGGTGATTGGGACAGGATGGGGGAGGAAACCAGAAGGGGACCAAATGGGGAGATGGCTGGGCCATGTGGGCACATGTGGGGCCTCGTGGGTTGAGACAAAGTTGGATCAGGCCCCAGAGGCAAACACTGCCATCTTCCCCAGAGAGAAGGAAGAGACAAAGCCAGAGATGGTGACAGCCACAGCTATGGACAGAGGACCAAGCTCCTGGGGACCAGAAATGCATTTCCTGATGGAGGCAATGTCCTAGGGCTGGAGGTCCCAAACAGAGCTCACCTACCCCCAGCAAGGGGACCCCAGGTTCAGCTCAATTGCTGTCCAGGCACCCTGACATGGGAAACAGGTGCTTTCTGAGCACTGATGGAACAGGAGACCCAGGAAGCTGGTAGTGGGAAGGATAGGGCTAACCCCAGGGAGTGAGTGGTTTGGATTTGGGTATGTGTCAGTATTAACAAAACAGGCAATATATTCATTATAGGCGCAATCATGAAACTTCCCTCCAAAGAGCTCACATCTCCCCCCTTACCCAGCAAGCTCCTTAGCCTGGAAGGCCATCACGATCTGACTCCTGCCCCAACCCCAGCCCAATTGAACTCCCCTTTCCGTGGACATGACATGATGTTCACGGCTCTGCACTCTTGCCAACAACCTTACTCCTAGCCTACTTTCGTCTCTCTCTGCTCTCATGTGTCAAAGGATTGATAACTCTGCCTTGTCAAGTGTTTATTTACTGCTGTTTTCCCCACCAAGCCTGGAGCTGCCGGAGGAAAGAACCTGACTCTCTTGTCTCCAGCGCCTGAGGAACCTGAAGCCACTGTGAGTTGTGTTTTCTGTACCCTGATGTGTTTGGGAGAAACATATCCATATGGGTCTATAATGGATTTCTGGGGTGTCTAGTGGTAGATATAAGGACTTTGGGCTATGTTGGTGTCTGGGACGACAGCTTCTTCCGATGGGGGTTGGGGTGCTGTGTGGAGGGATGATCCTAGCCTAGAAGGGGCTAATGGAGATGAAGGGGCCAAAGTGGGTCAGGGCTTAGATGGTAGAGGATGAGTCAAGGAGGAAAAGGGGTCTGTTGGTCTACACGCAGGGTCCACGCTCCGAGTCCCAGGGCTCAGAACCAGCAGGGTGACCACATGAGCGAACCGAGCGCTGCACCCGTGGCGGCCCCGGCGAGCATGCCCATGGCCAGCGGGGCGCCCGCGCTGTAGCAGGGATCCTCCCGCACTACTACGTGCGTCACGCCGGGGCCTGCAGAGAGAGCCCGCCCGTGAGGGCCAGAGACTTCAGAGGACGGAGCAGAGAGATCTCCCGCTTGACTCCAGCCCAACCGAAGGTAAGACGCTGACCCCATCCTGCTTCTCACTTGGAGAAATTGAGGCCTTAACGTGAGAAGGACGCGCGCTCCGTCCCCACGGGTTCCAGGCTTTGGATCTGCTACGGACATTTCTGGACCGTGGGGCTAGGGTGGAACCGCGAGGAAACTCCCGACCTCTAAGAAACCTCCAGACCGCACCTGAGGACGGGCGGTTCCAACAACCAGACCCTGGAGCGGGAGGAGGCGGCCGTTCCCGTGTTAGCCACCAGGGGTCGCTATCAGCTCAGGAACGGGTATTGCTGGGCAGCCGAGTGGAATAGGGGCCGGCCTAGAGAGGTGAGTTCAGCTCTGGGGTCGGGAGGGGCGCTGGTCCAAGAACTATTCGGAGTCTCGGAATGGGGAGGGCCTTGCAGAGGGTCCCGCCGGGGAAAATCCATAATCACTAAAAAGGTGGGGTCTGCTCGCGACTGATGGACCATGGCAGGGCGGGGCCTGGCGCTGGATGGAGGCAGGGGACGGGGCGGGCCGGAGACTTACCTGGGTAGGGCGGTCCATAGTAGCTGCGGACATATGTGGCCTCGTGCGCGTTGGGGGGCACCACCTCATAGTAGTCCTGGTACGGGCTGTAGACACGCACCTGGGGAGCCCCACGGGTTAGCTGCCCGGGAACTCCTTCGCCTGGGTTTGGTTCCCTACCCACCACCCTTGATTCAGGCCCCTCTGGGTCCACGGAGCCGCCAGACCAAGTTTAGAAATGGGTCCCCAGGGACCAGCAAGCTCCTAGAAAAAGGCCCTGCCTCCCCACAAGGTCCATGGTCTGTGTCCTCTATGACTCCAGGCCACATCCAGCTCCCAGTGATGCCATTTTCCTGCTCTGGCCTCCTACCTAGCACTCCCCTGAGCAAAAATTCTCCATGGCTCCCAACTTCCCTTCATACATAGTCTAATATTGGCTAGCAGCTCTCCAGTGGTCCCACTTGGAGAAACCCAATGGATTTCTCTACTCTCCTAGTCACAGGGAGGGGACCTGGCCAAGCACCAGGCCCAGGAAATAAAAGGGGGTTGGGGAGGAAGGAAGGGAAAGGAAGGGTAGGGATGGGAAGTATTATCGAGCATCCACCATGTGCCAGGTCCTGAGGGAGGTGTTCACATGTTACCTCCTCTAAACCTTACTCAGGCATTATTATCTCCACATACCGCAGAACTGGGGATAGAGGCTCAGAGAAGAATGGCCAGTGTTCTTTCTGGAAGGGAGGAGTGCACTCCCTGCCCTCTTCCCTCCCCCATTGGATTTTTACCAACCCCTCCAAGCCTAACTCAAAAGTCACCTAACTCCAGGAAGCCCTTCTGATCTTAGAAAGAATCCTTTCTTCCTGAGTTCTCTGTGGATTATGCTTGTACCTCTTGTTCCTATCCTTTTTTCCTGGCCTTTCCTGTCTGCATCCCAAATGGGAGCTACCTATAGGCAAGGGCTCTGATTCATTTGTGTCACCAGCAGGGCCTAGTGAATAGCAAGAACCAATAAATATATGTGGAAATAAATGGAAGCTCCTCATCCAGGCCCCTCATTTTCCCCATGGGGGAGCAGACCTGCAGAAGGGGCAGGATCCCCTTCTCTCCAGGCTCCTCCTTCTCAGCACCCTTCCACTCTCTCTCTCTCTCTCTCTCTAACTGGGCTTCACACTCGAATGGTCCAACTCTCCTTAGAAGTCCAGGTGTCATAGACTCCACTCATCTCAAAGTGATTTCATCATCCTTCCATCCCCTCAAACCTGCTCTTCTGTAAATGCTTTTCTCGAAATGCCACCATCATGCACTCAAACCAGGACATCAGGTTGGCACCCTTGTCTTCATACACTTATCTTCCACATCACATCAGCCACCAGGTCTCATGATTTTATCTTCTAAATATACTCTTCTGTCCATCCTCCTGGCCAGTGCCAAGAGAATAAGCCATTGGTTTTGGCAACTTGGAAGTTGTGGGTGACTTTGAAAAAACACTTTTCAGAGGAGTGGTTGAGGGAAGAAGCCAGACTATGGAGGGTTGAAGAATGGTTGAGAGGTGAGGGATGGAATCAACATGTCATAACACCTCTTTCAAGAAATTTGGCTGTAAAGGGGAGTTCTCCCAGCACACCTTGTGATTTCAAATCTCCATGCCATCTCCCTTTGATAGGGATGCCCCCCTCATCTTTTTTCATTTAACTACCTGTCTTTCAGACTCAAATCAAGTACCACTCTCCCTCAACCTCGGGTTCTGCTGGGGTCCCACCTGGGCACCCAGAACCCTTAGACTTCCCTCATCACAGCAGCAATAACCCTGTAGTGTCATTGTTTGTATCACTGTTGAGTGTATGTCTCTCCCATCAGACTTGGAGGACCTCCCTACCACCAAGGGCAGGGACTGGGTCTAATCAGGCCTGACTGGAACATAGTAGGTGCCTAATGTATTAAATTTATCTCAAATGAATCAAATACGGGGCCAGACTGGGAGTAAAGTCACCCAACTCTAAGTCCAGTTTCAGGTTAGAGACAATGACCCGTCCCAGGGCAATGCAGGAGGCTCAGACAAACAATGCTCAGTCTCAAGTGACTTCCCTCACTCTGCTCCTTCCCCAAGGGTGACCCAATAGGGCTTTCTTGCGGGGGTGGCCAGGATCTAAGCTCCATGCCTAGGAGGGGCTCGAGGGATCTAAGCACTCAGATCCCCAATTTTGGTAGGGAAGTTGAGGTCCAGAGCCTACACCTGCACTGCATCTGCACAGTGAGCCAGTGGCCCTGTCGGACCCTGGAGAGAGAGGAAAACACCACCTCATGTCCCTGTGGGGTACCTGTTTCTACCCTCCAGGCCTGGGAGGCCCAGAGGTAAACTCATGTGGGTCACCTGGCAACGGGGCAGGGGATCCCTCAGAGACCTCATGGACAGAACCTAAGGGCTTGATCCCCCATCCTCTCCCTCTCCACAGACCCAGCCCCTTTTCCAGGTGAGGACAGGACCAGCCACATGCTAACAGATCCCTTCCCTGGGAAAGGCTGTTGTGTACTTAGGTTTACAGTCCTTTAAATCCTGTTTTTAGGCATCCCCACTTGAAACAAATTTGTATCCTAGTTTGGGCACGAGGGATGCCTCAGAATGCTGGGCTGGGGGTCCCAGCCCTGCCACTGATGAATTAAGTAACCCTGGTCAAGTGATGTAACCTCTCAGAGCTTCAGTTTTCTCATCTATCAATGGGGACAATCTTTCCTACACTGCCCACTCCCAGGGCACAGTGAGAATCCAGCAGAGCCACATCTATGCAACTGGGTGGTCCTAGCACTTCTGAGCTCAGTGGTTCTCCACATCAGAATCACCAGGAGAGGGGCCGGCCCCATGGCTTAGTGGTCAAGTGCGCGTGCTCCGCTGCTGGCGGCCCGGGTTCGGATCCCAGGCGCGCACTGACGCACTGCTTCTCCGGCCATGCTGAGGCCGCGTCCCACGTACAGCAACTAGTAGGATGTGCACCTATGACATACAACTATCTACTGGGGCTTTGGGGGGAAAAAAATAAATAAATAAAATTATTAAAAAAAAAAAAAAAAGAATCACCAGGAGAGATTTCCTAAACCACAGATTTCCAAGGCCCCAGCCCAGACCTACGAAATTAGAGCATCCTGAGGTAGGATCTGAACAGTTGTACTTTTTTTTTTAAGTCCTTAAGCGATTGTAATGCACAGTCACATTGAGTACCACTGTGCTAGAAAAGGAGCTGACAGTTGACTACAAGACCACAGGTTCTCTGAGGCAAGTCCCCCCACTGCGCCCACCCCATGTCAGGCCGAGCACTGGGGACAGAGAGACGATGCATCCCCAAATCCTGCTTTCCAGAAACACTGGGGGAAGGGGGCAGGGAGACAGACATGGACTAGGTTATAACATGCAGAGGTGAGGACATAACAGAGGCTTTTCACTCCTTCCTTCCCTTATGCATTCACTCATTTGCTCATTCAGTGAACAGTGCCTGAGGCCTACCTGTGCCCGATCCTCATGCACCAGAAATAAGGAGGGTCAAAATAGACTGTCCCTATCACTAAGCACTCACTGAGCACCCGCTGTATACCCAGCACTGTGCCAGGCTCCACAGGGGCAGAGCTGATCAGACCTGGTCCTGGACTTGGAGGAAGTTCCAGGTCTCATGGGAGAACAGAGATAGAAATAAATGGACTTGAAATCAGGCAGAATGAAGACAGCACTAAGCATTAGTGCAGCAGGCTGTGGGGGGGAGTGACAATGCCTAGAGGTCTGGGAAGTCCTCCCTGAGGAGGTGGCAGCCTTTGAGGTGGGTCCTAGGGGATAAGCATCAGTTTTTCAGGTGAATAAGGAACCTAAGGGTCTTCATAGCAGAGAGAACAGCATGTGTAAAGGCTGGGAAGAGGGAAGAGGTCTGGCGCAGCCGGGAGCAGAGGGTACAGCAGAGCCATCAGAGCACAGGGGATGAGGTGGATGTGGTAGGTAAGACTGGCCCAGGCCAGATCCCGAGAACCTTGAAAGCAGGGCTGTGGTTGGTGTCTTGTGGGTGATAGGGAGCCATGGAATGTTTGTGAGCAGGGAAGGGATGTGACCAGGCCCACTTTTGGAGGCACATCCTGGTGGCCAGAATGGAGGCAGGGAGGGCTGAACCAGCACTTACCCAGATCCGCCTCTCAACCTTACAGGGGCTCCACGAGCGGGTCACACACCTGACCTTGGGGCAAACCCGGCGGCTCCTGGGAGGGACGGTGGCTCCAGCTGGGGCCTGCTCAAGCCACAGAAACCCAAGAAGGGGGAGGGAGGGAGGTGTCAGAGGCCCTCTACATCTGGAGAGACTCAGAGCTCTTAACAGGCCCTACCAGAGCCCTCTGCCAGCGGGGCAGGGGAAGGGGGTGTCCTCTTCCTCCTCAGCCCACAGTAATGGGGGGAGGTTCAGAGGGGGTGGTGACTTTGCCAAAGTTACACAGAAAAGAAGGACCAGTCTCGTCTCTCCAGAATTAGCCCACTTTCAGGCTAGAAGCCCTGTTTCAGGCTTCTGAGGCTCCCAGGCTCCAGGGAGGACAGAACAGCTCTGATCTGCCCTCCACCCACCTGCCCCCTTCACTGGCCCCCCTTGCCCTTGGCTGTGCCTCTGGCCCTGTGTTCCCTGGAACAGCCGGGGTCAGGGGCTCCTCCTGGAACTTCCACCCAGAGTGGGGTATGAAGCTATGGGATGTGGAAGGACAAAGCACAGGTTACTCCTACATAGGCACAGCACAGAGAGAAGCCCAAAGGCACAGGAATGAACACAGACAGGCAGACACTAGTACAAAAGCACAGGGGCACAAACACACTCCACTCGAGCAAGCCCTGGGACCAGAGGTGGGTGTGTGTGTGAGGAGAGCAGTGGGAGGTGGAGTAGAGGGTCAGGGCAGAGAGATGTGGTGAGCAGAGCAGCAGGAAGGTGGACAGGCAGAGAAGGAACAAGGCAGCTTCACAGAGTCACAGAGTGCAGAACGGTCAGCTCTCACCTCCTTCCTTCCACCTCCCTTGGGTGGGACTGATTTGCTCTGCATAAGGGGAATTTGGAGCTCAGAGCCAGGTTAGCCCAACCAGGGGTCCCTCTACTCTGCTGACCACTGCCCCAGCCTCCTTTCTCCCAGCTTCCTCTAATCCAGCCTCCACCCAGAAGCCTGAGTCTGTTCGCCAAAGTCTGACCACAGCCCTCCCTACTTAATACCCTTTATTGCTCCCCACAACTCTCAGGATAAAGTTCAGTTCCTTCAACTGGACTTCAAGGCCCTTCGTGACGTGGCTCCCCAGAGGTCATCACTCCCATTTGTTTCCCTCCACGTGTTATCCTCCAGCCAGGCCAGACTCCTGGCCCTTAGACGCACGTGTCTGCACACACACACGTGCACATATCACTTCCCCACCTCTGCTCATGCAGTTTCTTCTGCAATAATGCCCTCCCGTCAAAATCTCACCGACCTAGGTTCCAATACAGGCTCTTCTACTGACTTAAGACTATGAGACTCAGGGGCCAGCCCTGTGGTGTAGCGGTTAAGTTCGCACGTTGTGCTTCGGTGGCCCAGGGTTTGCCGGTTCTGATCCTGGGTGCAGACCTACACACCACTCATCAAGCCATGCTGAGGCAGCGGCCCATATAGAAGAGCTACAACTCTACAACTATGATACACAACTATGTACTGGGGCTTTGGGGAGGAAAAAAAAAAAAAAAAGAGGAAGATTGGCAACAGATGTTAGCGCAGGGCCAATCTTCCTCGAAAAATAAAAAAAACACACTGTGAGACTCTGGACAAGTCACGTCCCCCTGAACCTCAGCTTCCCTATCCGTAAAATGAGACTAAAAATCCCACCCGCTACAAGGGTTGTTGGAAGATTAAATGATATAACCAGTGCCAGGTGCTCAGCACAATGCCTGGCCCTCAGCAGGTGGATGCCCAAGGGGATTTATAAATGCATCCAGTCTTCACTGCCACTTCCCAGCAGACTTTCTCTCTAGATGAGAAGGGGCTTCACAGATAGAAGCAGCAAGCAAAGAATCTGGAGTCAGGCAGATGGGGATCGAGGCCAAGCCGGGCCACCCTTGAGCTGGGGGCTTTGGGTGCCTCCTCAAACCCACACCACCATCAATCACTAACCTCTGTTGACCCTACCTCCTAAATCTGTCTTATCCTCAGCAGCTGTCTCTGCCAGCAAGGCTTTAGTCCAGACGTCCCGTTGGTCACCTGGATGCTATCCCAGCCTTCTAACTGGTCTCCGGGCATCTACTCTAACCCTCTACAATCCATTCTCTACCTACCAGCTAGACTATCTTTTTAAAAATACAGATGTGGTCTGATCTGTCTATGCCATCCCTCTGCTTAAAAACTTTCAATGACTTCCCGGTGCTCTTAGCAGAAACCAACATCCCTGACACAACCCAAAGGCCTGGCCCTGCCAACCCTCCTTCCCCACTGGCCTCTCCCTGAGCTCCAGCCACCCCAGCCTTCCTTCTGTGCTTCAACTTGCCAAAGTCTTAACCCCTCTCAGGGCCTTTGCACATGCAGTTCCCTCTGCCTGGAAAGCTGTTCCCTTCAACCTACCCCATCCCTTTCACCCAGTCGATTTCTGTTTATCCTTCAGGTCTCATCTTAAGCCTTGTCTGAACTCCCACCTGGATCAGGCCACCAAGGTGGTGGCACATTGAATGCACACTGCACGTCTCTGTCAGGGCAGCTACCACCATTGCAGTGCAACCATTAACTTTGTAATTAGTGCTTCACATCTGGCTCCCCACTAGGCTGAGTCCAGGAGGGCAGGGCCCACATCTCCTTAGTTTACCTCTAATCCCTGGCCCTTGGCACAGTGCCTGGCACATAGTAGGAATTCAGTAAATATCTGTCATGTGGATGAATGAAGCTCAATCTTATCATCTGCAGAGCGGGAACAACAGTTCCAACCTCACAGGACTCATGAGGAGGAGCTGGAATCACACCTGCACCCATACCTGGAACATAATAGTTGCTCGACAAAAGACAGTTCCTTTCCCCAGCTCACATGCTACCTGCTTCAATAAGCCTTCTTGGAGGCCTCTCTCTCCCTCCTCCAAGCACCAGTTGGCTGTCTTCTGTCCTTTTCCACTTGGGACTCAGGGCGTCTGAGTCTGCAGAGTCTATTCACTCACATATATGAGAATTAAGAACCCCTGGCAGGCAGAGACCGAGTCTGAATCACCCATGATTCCATGGCAGGCAGGGGTTGGGAGGACAGAGAGAGAGAATGGGGGCTCACCGGGGTGGAGTTCGCCTCCAGCAGCGCTGTCTTCCATGCTCTGCAAAGCAAACCCCGCCAGACCATGAGGAGGGAGTTTGGGAGAAGGGGGATTGGCCCCTACATTTTAGACTTTCCTCCTCAACCCAGCCTCTAGCCCCAGTCTCTCGTGAAGGGGGAGATTCCTCTGACTCCCTTGGGTAGCAAAGGGGGCCCCTCCCCTGCCCCAGTCACATGGATGGGCCCTCAGTTTAGCTGGAGCTTCCTAATTCATTCTTAGCCCATAGTCTCTTCCCTTCTAGAAGTTCTAGTTTCCCCATCTAGACAATAGACAGCTGGGCTTGGGTGGTCTCTTAGAGGCCTTCAGGTTCTGACATGCCTGGGTTGGTTCTCCAGCTACAGCCCACCTCCACATCCCAAACCTCCAAACACAGTTCCCCAATGCTCTGACCCCAAAGCCCGGGGAAGGCCCAGTGGACACTGGACAATTGGGCCTTTGTTGGTTGCCATGGCACCTGGCTGGGGTGGACAAGGCAGCTCTGTGCTTTGTCTACCCAGAGCTCAGCTTCCCCCACTCCCACACACCCCATCTCTTTCATTCTCCTACAGTGCAAAGGCTAACGGACCCTCTGCCAGAGAGTAGGAAGGGAAAGAATGTGAGTGAGCTGACGGTGCCTGAGGAAGACATGCCCTGTCTCAAAGAGTGGATCTGCATGTGGCACTGGGTGCCCCTGTGACACAGCGGGCTGCCTCCGTTAGGCAGGTCACGGTTTACCCCTCAGATCAGAGTCCCCCCACCACAGCATCTTCTCAGAAGGGAGTGAGAAGGAGGGTCCTTTGAAGATGCCACTGGGCTCTGTTTCTTTGTATCACCCCCAAGAGAGTGCTCACCTCAGAGGCTGCTCAATACCCGACTCTGAATGGTCAGGGACCACCCACCTGAGGCAGGTGTGCACACCGCACCCCCAACAGTCCTGAGTTCATCACAGACCATGTGAGGAATTTACTGGATACCATACCAATTACCCTGAGCCATTCAAGTCCATTCTGCCCAGCCTCCAGTGAGACCACCATGCTGATTGGTCTTTGTCCCCTCTTCCTACCCTCAGGGAACCAGAAGGCCCAATGAGAAGGAAGCGTCTGGTCACATTCCCCAGGATCCCACCACATCCTCTCCTGGGAGCGACTCACATGGCGTCATCCCGGGTCTCCGCACACAGGTGCAGGCGGGGGCCCTCCCGTAGGTTCACGGTCAGCAGGCCATCTCGGCTCTGGCCCTCTGGGGGCTGCACATCTAGAGGCAGACACACATATATATGGGGTTTCCACGGGGCACAGGCCCCAGATCCCCCAGGTAAACCAGGAACAAGAATAGGAACTGACTTCTCTGAGTCGTGTTTATTGGCCATTGCCAACCTCCTCTGATCTCACACACTTTCTTTGGGATTCTGCTCTACTCTTTAGATCTTTTCAACTTTCCACACTGCCTGCTTCCCTAGTTAGGTACATCTATTTCCCAGTTACCCTGTTATAATTGTGGCCTGAGCCACGGTAGAGAAGATTTGCTGTGTGACTCTGGGCCAGTCACTTAACTTCTCTGAGTCTCCGTATCTCATTTCATCTTTATCCAGTTCCCAGCACCTAGAGGGCAGGAACTGTGTCTGAATCACCTCTGTGACTGAAGCATAGGGCCCAGGCCCAGTACAGGGTAGGAACTCAGCAAGAAACTGACTTCTTAATTCATACCCACAGGGATTGGAGTTGATAGAGGCCCAGAAGCAATGTCTGTGGAAGCCTTCTGAAAGCTGCAAAGAGCCTTCCAATGCAGGTGTTCTCAGATAGACACAGTGGGAGGGCCATGTCCATGGTCACAGTGCCAGAGAGGAAGGGGCTTCTGCTCACCCTGGCACTCTTGGCCGATCTTTATGTCACGGACATTGAAGCGGATGAGCACGCGGTCCTCCTCATCCTGCGCGGTCTCATCTTGGTAGTAGCCCAGGGTCCCATCCAGCCACAGGGCGAACCAGTTCCGCTTCCAGCGGCGGAGGATGGAGCCTGTGTGACATTCCAGACCCGCCAGGCAGGCTGATAGCAGACCCTACTCGGGGGCAGGAGCCCTGGATGGGCTCCAAATCCCCTCACCCCAGCCCCCCGTGTTATAACCACCCCCGTCCTTGTCTATCTACCCCCTGAAATTACAGCAGGGCCTCTTTCTGGCTTGCTCACCAACTGCCTCCCACTGGAGGCAACTACACATAGTAGAGGCTGCATAAATGTGTTGAACAGTAAATGAGTGACCAGAGCCATTCCTTGTGGGCTTCCAAGGCCAAGCCCCAGGTCTCTTTAAGGGAAAGACCTCTCCCTACCCTGAGCCTCCATCTTATCTCTTATCTCCGACTTGTGTGATGGTCATTTGTGTACTGCCTGCCTCCTCCACCAGACTAGGGGTCTGCAGCTCTTCCACACGGGTCCTGGCCCCCAGCAGGACCTGGGTTCAGTGTTTGCTGAACTGAGTGAACTGAGACTGGGTCGTGGGACGTGGGGCTTCCAGCCCAGGATAGGTCGGGTTCAGATCATGATTCTGGTCAGAGATGGGTCTGGAAGCCTGAGCCCTAGCTTCAGACATTTTGCAACTGGAAATCTTAACAGGAAAGGGCAAAGACATGACAGCTTCTTAGAGCTTTACGGATTCCAAAGCACAGAGGCATTTTTCATTTTGTTCTGTGGCCAGCCCTGGGCCGGGGCACTGTGGACACAAAGAGGATCAAACCCAGTCCCTGCGCTTGAGGAGCTCACAGGCTAGGGCTAGTATGGGGTGGGGGAGAGGTAAAGACAGTTATATTAGGGGGGGATCTGTGCTATAACAGGGGTATGTATGAGGCAGTGGGGAACAGAGAAAGGAGCCTCTAACCCAGCTTGGTGCTACAGCAGGGTCTGGGGTGGGGTTAGAGAAAAAGTCCGAGAAGGCTCCTCACAAAAGGGGACATCTGCGCTAGTTCTCGAAGAATAAGTAGAAGTTTACCAAGCAGTCAGGAATGGGAAGGATATTCCAGGCAGAGGGAAGAGCATGGACAAAGGAGGGGAAGATAAAAAGGGCCTGATTTTGAGGAGAGGGTTCACTGTGGCAGGCCCAACAAGCCCCTTCCCTCACCCCTGCCCCTGGACAAGGTGCAGGACAGACAAGGGCTTGGCCCAAGGCCACTCACTCTGTCTCCACAGCCAGCCGCCCCTCACCAGGGCCATTTCTTCAAAAGGACTTTCCAGGGCGGAGTCAGGCGGGACCTGTCAGAGGAGCCACAGGACACACAGGCCTCATCAGCAGCTCCAGAGCAGCTCCCCAGAGAGAAGACAAGCCCCAGCCTCCTTGGGGGAGCCACCACGGAAACGTTTAAGGGAGTGTTGGTAGACAAACAAGGGCAAGCCTGCCTGTCTCCTCCCCATTCTCTGCTGCAGGCAGATAATGGGAGCACTGTCCTGGTGGGGCCAGCAGGGCAGCCACCCATTGTGCTCGGGTGGGGGCGGGGGGGTGAGGAGCCTGGATTCCAATCTCAGCTCCATAACCTTAGCCAAGTCCCTTCTCCCTGGCCTCCATTTCTAGATCTGTAAAAGTGTGTCTGTGAGGCAGGCAGAGGCTGGAGTGAGGCACTCTTAAGATGTTAGAAACCCTGGAACTTTGAAATGCTGGCAGCACAGAATATTAGAATCATGGCAGTGAATGAGGGACTTTCATGATAAGAAAAAGCTCCCTCACATTTGAACTCCACCTGAGCCGTTTACGAAGTGCATAAAATAATAGTTCAACAGCAGCTATAACTGATTACGCACTATGTGCCAGGTACACCTCTCAGAGCTTTCATCTAGTATCTCACGGAAGCCTCACAACAATCCTTGTTATTTTTCCGGGGAAACTGGGGCCTGGAGAGGTCCTGTCACTTGCGCAGATCCGCTTGATTAGTCAGTGGTGGGGCCCAGATTCACACCCAGCAGTCCTGGCTTCTAACCATTATGCCAGAAGGAGCCTTCAAAACTCCCGATACCCAGGTCATACCCCATAACAATTAAATCAGAATGTCGGGGGGCGGGAGGCAAGCACTGAAAGTCTTTAAAGATCTCCAGGTGATTCCAATGTGCAGCAAAGTTTAGGAACCACTGACATACTATACTATCTCACCTTGTCCCCACTGTCATCCAGTTAGATGGGTAGGATCTTTACTCCTATTTTACAGATGGACAAATTGAGGCACAGCAAATGACTTGTCCAACTAGGTGATGCAGCTTGGATTGGAATCTAGATGCCCTCTGTTCCTGAGGACGATTTTCTTGCGAGCAGGTGCCTCTGCCCCTCCCCCACCTGCTCACACCTTTTGCTGCGTAGCAAGGGCTGGCACTCCAGGGCTGGAAGGCCCATCCTTGTCCCTGCTTCTCCTGCCGCTCCCTCCCCTCTGCAAGCCCTGACACAGGTCAGATAAGAGGGCCAGGTCCCTCTCCAGCGCCCCCCTTGATGCACCCACCTGTCTACACCTGTTGCGGATGCTGCTGCCAAAACGCCGGCTACTTGATGCTGCTGCCACCCAACCCACTGCGCCTGCGCTTTGTGCGCCCCAGAGCGCCTGGGACATTTCACTCCCCAGGCTGCGCCCTGGGCCCCGCCCTCCGGCCCCGCCCCACCCCCAGGGAGGGGGCGGGGCGTGGAGAGATGTGCTGGCACGAGGCATGCTGGGACTTGTAGTCTGCAGCCCTAGAACTGGGCAATAGGCAGCCTTTCTTGGGTGGTAGCCCTGTGCTGACCAGGAGGACAGGTGAGAGGCTGCACCTGCGATTTCATTTTGCTCTGACATTTGTTCACTCATTTATCTTGAAATACTTTTTCCTAAGAATCTTGAACCCATTTTCTAGAAAAAAGTATGGTTGCAAGGAGAAGCCAGGCTCCTAGTTTTGCCATGTTTTCTCAATACAGTACTCAGTTTGTGCCTGGCACTGCACTGGGCGCTAGTGGAGGGCACAAAGAAGCATCTGACAAGGCCCTTTCTCCTTCCTTCCCCAGCTTCCAGTCTGGTGGGGGAGACTAAATGTAAACACAATTAGAGCACAAAGTATGATTCAACAACAGGAGAGAAGAATCTGACTTTGCCCAAGAGGTTCAGGAAGGTCTCCAGAGGAGACTTAAAGGGGTCTTGAAGGATGAGTAGGAGTTTCTCACGGGAAACCTAAGAGACTTATAAGAGCACTGGTTAGGAAGTTCAAATGAGTGTGCCGTATTTCAGTGTGTTTGGCAAGTAGAGTGCAGGTGGGGAGGGCAAGGGATGTGTCACTTGATGAAGCTGCAGGGGTTGCAAGGATATAATATGAAGGCCTTGGATGACAGGCTCAAGAGCTTGGACATTATGTCCTAGTGACTGGAGCTTGCGGGGAGGGGAGGGTTCAAGATGAGGAGTTAGGTGGTCAGATTTGTGAATTGGAAAGGTCCCTCTAGGGCATAATGGAAAATGGATCGCAGAGTGCCCAACTGGAGAAAGAAGACCGTTTCTGTATCTACCACCTTGGTCTGCCCCTCCAGGATCATTTCCTTGAATAGCTCAGCCCCACAAACCCCCACCTACAGCAGACCCAGGACTGTCATTCAGATAACAGGGCTTGTCAGGGCCTGAAAGACTCCTGGTCCCATCCCCTATTTGAGAGGGGCACCCACCCTGCCCTGGGCCCTTCCTCCTGTCCCAAACACCTCTTGCTTACCGGAGTTGCAGGGCTCATGGTTCCTGGGCGGCCAAGGCAGCATTTCCTAGAAGGTTCCCTGAGCGCCTTAGAGATAAGGGGATCAGGAAGGTCCTACCAAGTGGGAGCCGGAAGTGGGGGGCACATAGAACTTTAAAAAAGTCATCCTCTCTCTCCAGTCACTCCCCAACCTCCCCGACTGATGTCTGCCTCGGACCTTCAGTTCACTGGATAACAACAAGTCATCCGTGATTCGGAGGTGGTTTTGGCCTAGCACTGCTAAGATGCCAGGACCGCGGACTGGCCAGTCCTCCTCTCTCGGTCGAGGGCGGGGCTAAATCTGCTTTCTCCCGCCGGGCGGGACAGTGCCATCACCCCAGTCCGGGCTGCGCAGCCTGGCTCTTTAAGCTTCCCTCTCTCGCTCCTGGGTTTCTGTAATCCTGACCTCTGAGCCACCCCGGCGCTTCAACCTTTCGTGCAGTGCGTGCCTTGCTAGGGGATTTGCCACGGCCGATCCTATTAGCCACTGAGCTCATCCCCTCCGTGCAGCCCCAGGAAGCAGCTCTCCAAAACTAAGCTGTCTCCAACTCTATATCGTCTGTCTCTGGGACGTCCCACCCCTACCTTCTCCAGGCTAAATTTTCCGCCCCCACAGCAGAAAGGAGGAGGGAGGGAGGAGTGAGTGGAGCTGGCTTCAGGGAATCTGGATCCTGCCCTCTCCCTAGCTCTCCCTGCTCCCCTCCGTGAACAACTGTTTGGCGTCCTTCATAGAGGGGTCGGGTGGGGAAGCAGTGCAGACTCCTAGATTACATTCTCTGGATTTAGCAACCAGATGAAAAAGGAAGATTCTCCAGTGGCGGTGTGGAATTCAGGGGGAAAATCCACCCTCCTCCCCCACCAAAGAGAGGGCGCTATGACAAGAAAAAGAGAAAAGGATGCTGGGAAACCACGGATGCAACTATAGAATCTAAAGGCAGCCCGACCTGGCTTATGTCTCTAAAATGTTCCTCAATGACCCTCTTTGGGAAGCTGCTGAAGGAAGTAGACTCTGCCCAGGAAAAAGATCACACACATGTCACGTTTTGCATATAATTCCTGGGAGTTCATAGACCCCTGAAGCCATAATGATTACCATTGAGAGCTGTGTTTTTAATCTCCAGTGCTGTGTAGACCAGTGGATAGAGCATGGTTTTAACAAGTGAGAGGTGCTGAGAGCATAGCAGGAATCCAGCTCCTGCAGTCCTGGCCTTGAGAGACTTTGTTTGTTTAATCAACTAAAATTTATTGAGATCAACAAAAATCATTGGCAGAGAGAAAAGTATGTTGCTATTTCAAATGTCCCTGGTGGATGAACAGCTCTCGGATAATACATTGTTGAGAGAATAGTGGACTGGTTTATCAAATTAAAATTCACTACTTATCTTTTCTAAAGAGTAAAATATAGTGAGAATAATTTGTACTATCTCTAATTACTAAAAAATCCAGAAATTTATGTCAAGATGCAATTTGAGCCAAAGTAAAATCAAGTAAAAATTTTTAAGTAATTTTAGTGAGATATAATTTATATACTATAAAATTCACTTTTTTTTTTTGTGAGGAAGATCAGCCCTGAGCTAACATCTATTGCCAATCCTCCTCTTTATTTTTTTTTTTCCTTTTTCTCCCCAAAGCCCCAGTAGACAGTTGTATGTCATAGTTGCACATTCTTCTAGTTGCTGTATGTGGGACGCGGCCTCAGCATGGCCAGACAAGCAGTGCGTCGGTGCGCGCCCGGGATCCAAACCTGGGTTACCAGTAGCGGAGCGCACGCACTTAACCGCTAAGCCACGGGCCGGCCCTAAAGTTCTCTCTTTTAAAGTGTACAGTTCAGTGTTCTAATATATTTACAAGTTGTACAACCATCATTACTATTTAATTTCAGAACATTTTCATCACCCCTAAAATAAACTCTATACTTTTTAGCAGTCACTCTTAATCCCCTTTCCCCTCAGCCCCTGGCAACCACAAATCTACTTCATCTGTATGGATTTGCCTATTCTGGACATTTCATGTAAGTGGAATCATGTAGTATGTGGCCTTTTGTAACTGGCTTCTTCCACTTAACGTTTTCAAGGCTCACCCATGTTGTAGCATGTATCAGAACTTTATTTTTTTATTGACGAATAATATTCCATTGTGTGGAATTTCTTATTTACCCATTCATCAGCTGATGGACATTTCAGTGGTTTCCACTTTTCAGCTATTATAATAATGCTGCTTAAAACATTTGTTTACATGTTTTTGTGGGGATATATGTTTTCATTTGTCTTGAGTGTGATATTGTTGAGTCATACGGTAACCCGATGTTTAACATTTTGAGGAACTGTCAAACTACTTTCCAAAGTGGCTGCACCATTTTACAATCCCACCAGCAACCTATAAGAGTGCCAGTTTTTCCTCGCCAGCCCTTGTTATTGTCTGTTTTTTGATTATAGCCATCCTAGTAGGTGAGAAGTGTTATCTCATTGTGGTTTTTTTGTGTGTGTGAGGAAGACCAGATCTGAGCTAACATCTGATGCCAATCCTCTTTTTTTTGCTGAGGAAGACTGGCCCTGGGCTAACATCTGTGCTGATCTTCCTCTGCTTTATATGGGATGCCACCACAGCATGGTTTGACAAGCGGTGCATCAGTGCGCACCTGGGATCCAAACCTTCAAACTCCAGGCCACTGAAGCAGAGCATGAGCACTTAACCACTGTGCCACTGTGCCGGCCCCAACTCATTGTGGGTTTTGTGTGAGTGTGTGTGTGTGAGGAAGATCAGCCCTGAGCTAACATCCATGCTAATCCTCCTCTTTTTTGCTGAGGAAGACTGGCTCTGAGCTAACATCTATTGCCAATCCTCCTCCTTTTTTTTCCCCCCAAAGCCCCAGTAGATAGTTGTATGTCATAGTTGCACGTGCTTCTAGTTGCTGTATGTGGGACACGGCCTCAGCATGGCAGGAGAAGCGGTGCGTCGGTGCACGCCTGGGATCTGAACCCCTGGCTGCCAGTAGCGGAGCGTGCGCACTTAACTGCTAAGCCACGGGGCCAGCCCACATTGTGGTTTTGATTTGCATTTCCCTAATGACCAATGATGTTGAGCATCTTTTCACGTGCTTATTAGCCATTTGTAGATCTTCTTTGGAGAAATGTTTATTCTAATCTTTTGTCCACTTTTTAGTTGGGTTTTTGATTTTTTAATTGTTGAGTTGTAAAAAGTTTTTTAAAATAGATAATTAAAAAATAATTTTGGGGGCTGGCCCAGTGGCGCAAGTGGTTAAGTGCGAGCGCTCTGCTGCGGAGGCCCGGGGTTTGCCAGTTCAGATCCCGGGCACACACCGAAGCATCGCTTGTCAAGCCATGCTATGGCGGCGTCCCATATAAAGTAGAGGAAGATGGGCTCAGAATGTTAGCCCAGGGCCAGTCTTCCTCAGCAAAAAGAGGAGGATTGGCATGGATGTTAGCTCAGGGCTGGTCCTCCTCACAAAAAAGTAATAATAATTTGGGGGACTGGCCCTGTGGCAGAGTAGTTAAGTTTGTCCCACTCTGCTTCGGTGGTCTGGGTTCACAGGTTAGGATCCTGGACGCAGACCTACACCACTTGTCAGCCATGCTGTGGCTGCGACCCACATACAAAATAGAGAAAGATTGGCACAGATGTTAGCTCAGGGCGAATCTTCCTTAACAACAACAACAAATAACAATAACAGTTTTGAAGAGAAAATAAATGAAATGATGGGCCAGCCCCATGGCTTAGCGGTTAAGTGCATGTGCTCCGCTACTGGTGGCCCGGGTTCGCATCCCGGGATCGCACCGACACACCACTTGTCCGGCCATGCTGAGGCTGCGTCCCATATACGGCAACTAGAAGGATGTGCAATTATGACGTACAACTATCTACTGGGGCTTTGG